TCAGAACATCTATCAGAACAGTCAGAACATCTCTCAGACCAGTCAGAACATCTCTGAGACCAGTCAGAACATCTATCAGAACAGTCAGAACATCTATCAGAACAGTCAGAACATCTATCAGAACAGTCAGAACATCTCTCAGAACATCTGACAGAATATCTATCAGAACACTTGTTCTGCTCTGCTCTGCTCTGTCCTGTTTCAGGTGCAGCCCTCCGTGGTTCCACCCTCCCACAGCCAATCAGGAAGCAGCGGTTCTCTGAGGCGACAGCCCACATACCCCCCACCAGTCTCCTCCCACTCCTCCTACCGCCTCCACGAGAGCGCCCTGTTCAGCTCCGCTCCCAACTTGTACGCCTACCCGGCCTCCGCCGCCCTGGCCTCCGTGTCCCAGGCCGTGGACCAGATGCAGAGCGGTCCGTCCCGACACGGCAGACCCAGTGGAGCCTACTCATCCCTGGCTCTACTGCAGAAGAACGGGAGCTTAACCCTGGGAGGGTCTGTCTCCGGACAGTTCAGCACCCAGCAGCAGGCTTTTCACCGCTCCACTTATCAGAGAAAACTTAACCAGTATCCTGCCTACCTGTGAAGGTGAGCGGCTCTGCTCCAAGATGAGCACAAGCTCCACCCGGGCGTCTCTGAAGCTCCACCCGGGCGTCCCTCATCAGCCTCAGAATGGTTTGGTTTTAATCATGATCTGTTTTTATTTAAATCAGTCCGTTCTTCTGCAGCATCTCAGCACATGACGAGGCTCTTATTAAACATCAGTTGTAGTTCTCAGCTCAACCTGAAGCTCAGCTGACATCATGGAGGACCTGAAAACTCTTTTATGTTGAGGTTTTTTAACTGTCATTCTAAGTTCATTCATCAGAGAAATTCCCTGATTTTATTTAAAACAGAAACTTTTGCTGCTAGTTTTTTTTAACGTTTCTCTGACTGCTTTAAATCTAGACTTTTCCATAAACAAGGCCTCATCAGGACCGTTTGCTGTCAGCTCCTTGTGTTCAGTTGTATTCATACTTTAATAATGAAAGTCTGAACTTGATTGTGAATTAAAGTGACGTTCTGTTTGTTGTAAAGCTGTGTCACTGTTTTCAGTCCTCTGAGGACCTCTTCTATTTATATGTTCAGTGTGTCCAACTCCAGGAATCGTTTTAGTTTGAAACTTCCTGTTAGGTTGTGTCTCAGACTGAGGAGACGTTTATAGCATATAAACTTAATATTCTGGAAAAATATTAAACTTCTTGTCTTGTGATGTTTGTGAAGTAAAACGTGCACAAAAGATCCAGCAGCGTGTCTCTTGGATATAATTCAGGGTGTTAGTGATGAGTAGAAATATGAATTGTTGTGAAGTCTACAGTAGAGAACACAGTCAACCTTCACTCATCAATATGCAATAAAGTCTTGAAGAAAACTTTKGGTCTGATTATTTAATCTGAACGACTTCTTCCTAATCTGGGTACAAAACGCCCTCTGATCCTTTCAGTCTTTTACGTTTCTTTGGTTTCATTTCAAGAAATGTTGTTGGAGAAACAAGTTTTATTTCTTTCCTAGAATACCTCCAGCAGTGGTGGGCAACACTAATTCAAAAATTAGCTCCGCAATTTCTAAAGCGCTTATTAGGTCTGCAACATCAAAAGTGCTTATGCTATAGAAATATTAGCAGAAGCTAATTTTAAACTGCAGGTTAAATTAGACACCAACTCGCTACAATTCATGTACAATGCTACCCATTAGTGGTGTATGAACCCTTGTACTGCTCATTTACAACTGCCAATTGCTGGGCATCTGAGTTCCTGTAACAGAACTTTGGCTCCTGGTGTAAAAATTAAAAACTTGTTGAGGATTGCTAGTTCGGCTGCTTCTTTGTCTTTTTCTTTTGTTTGTTGTAGATTTTTCATTAAAGAAGCATCAATAAAGTAATTTTAAAACTGTTTATTGGAAAACTGAAGCGATGAATTCTGGGTACATTTGTGGACTGACGGGAAACAAAAGCATGGGGAACAGGAAACTAGTATCTTCTCTTCAAAATAAGAG